GGACTCGAAGCGCGACTGACTTTTTCGAACGCAAGCGATCGTGTCGGTGACAACTAAGAGGCTTAATCCAGTGATTGAGCTGGATGGTCGCTTCGTTATCTCCCGGAATATTTGAAACAATGACATTGTGAGGCGGCCTAAACCTTAGTTTGGGGGGCAATGGGGGAGACTTGAGTTAGGCTGCGGAGCGGCCTCCAACGACCCCCAAACTGAGGTTTAGAGCCGACGCACGCCCGGAAGGCTGCGCCACGGAAACATTGGGCGCCATTATGGGCTGCGCCGTTGAGGGCCTACTAACCTACACCGACTCGATATAGTGGAACTGCTCCGAGAAGCGTCGAATTGATTGTGCAGCACACTTTGGTCTGTGGTGTCGCCTCTTTCAGGGAAATCCTCAATAGATTCAGAGCCGAGAACCCCGCGCCGTTTTGGCCGCGCCGTTGTGGTCGCGCCAAAATAGTTTTTGTCGTAGACCCGCGACCCGGATCAAAGGGTTCTAGGTAATCTTACATCACAATAAAGGCCGGCAGCCATTTTTTTGAGGGAGAGAGTGAAAACAGCCGGGATTCTATCCGCTGAATCAACGGCGCATGTCTAGGTAACCTTACATCACAACAGAGGCCGGCGGCAGTTTTTTCGAGGGAGAGGGCGGAAATAGCCAGGATTCTACTCGCTGAATCGAAGAGTCAATAGAGAGAATCGGAAAATTGGATTGATTTCCGAACTTTGATTTCTTCGGCCTATATATGACGACTACGGAATTCCCTTTCGCAAATGACGTGGAACCTGTTCAGCTACACGGTGGAGACTATACCATATCGATCAGGAACGCTTGTGAATTTTCATACCGATGCTCCCAACATACCCCGATATATCGCTGTTCACCGGCTTCGCGAGGGATACCTTATATCCGAGTGATGATACCGTCAACTCATTTCCTCACTCTCACATTCGAAACCCCTCATGAAAGCCGACAGGTTCCTTTCGTCCGAACCTCTAATAAGTCTCAGCAACCGCGATAACGCGACTCAAAGAAACGGTTTATCAAAGACCTATACGTATAGAATATATCGTCGACTGCAAATGTCTTCCTCCTCATCTGAATCAACCTGAAAGGCGACCTCTTCACCCTCTCCGGATCGCATCGATCTATGACTGCGTCTGGTAAAACCCTCAAACGGCCCCCCATTCCGGAATCGATATCTTTGTGTTGTACAGAAAGCATTCTTGATTAAAGTTTTTCATCAACTTCTCACATCATTGCTCAGCAACCGCGCGAAAGCGACCCTGGGCAAGGGTCGATCGAATACGTATAGGTATGGGATATATCGTCGAGATAACATGTCCCACTCCTCGCCCGAGGAGGAGGTGACCTTTTCAACCCTTTTCGGATCGAAGCGCGCGATGACAGCTTCCGAAAAGAGGCACGCTCCTCAAGGGAGGGGCTTATCAAGCACCGATACGATATATCTCCGAGATGAAGTTTCTCCCTCCTCGCCCGTATCATCCAAGTCGGTAAGTTTGATCGCCCTCGTCGGAACGGTAGGAGTGTCCAGTGTCCCACCGTATGCCATTTCGTTAGTGTGCAAACTCGAGCGATGCAAAGTCCAAGTGAATCCTTCGTACGCGTCCCCGGGCGACTCCACGGCCAGGATGTGTGGTGCCACCTAAGGGGAGCGTACACAGTAGCCGGTGACCAGGGAACTGGGGAGTTCTTCTTCAATATTGTTCGTCAAACACCACGCCAAGTTAGTTTGAACTGCAAGGAGTACACACGGTGAGTCGCTCAAACCAGTTAATTCTACATGGTGTACTTCCATAATTATGGATGATGGTTCTGTTCTCACGTTGACTCGCGTATCTCAGAACTCGGTGCCCTGATCTCGCAAAACCTCAATTGGATGGAACAATTATCAGCGTGTCTTCAGCGCACAACCATCTGCCTGAACACGGTGGGCACGGAGTCGCTGTCAGGGAACGCCGCAAGTCGTGGATCGATGACATACGGGCCTACCGTCGCGCGAAGCCGTCAGATGTCATACTTAAGAACCGACTGCATCTTCCCCTGGCCGGTGCTCGACGCATTGTTGTCCCCTCTCACACACGCACGGCTCGATGGCACGCCGCAAAAGTTAGACCTAAAAGCGTTTCAACATTACAGGAACTCCACTTCGCCATCAGCAGCCAGGATTTGCCAGAGTGGACTCGCACCGCGGACGGCGAACGACTCTCAAGCTCCTTCTGCGCGGAGCACGGATCTCTCTTTCTCTACACGGGGAGACTTCTCCAACGACTCCCGCAAGTGTCCGTCATGCATGCGGATGCGACTTACAACATAAGCCCCACGAAGCTGTGCTCGCAGATTTTCTGCATCCACGGAAACTGGAATAGCTATGTGAGTTCCCTTTCTGCCGAATTGATCATGCTTCCTCGCTTTGTCCATCAGCCGATGTATGTAGTATCTCCAACGCGAAATCTCCTTCCTCCAGACGGGACTTGTCGCAATGGCTCTCATGAAGTCCGCTACGGCGGGAGCGTACGAAGAAGTGTTCCGGTGTCTGAAACAGGTAGTCCCGGGCCTGACCGTTTCCCGCTTACATGGCCGACTACGATCAGGCAATGCGAGCAGCCGTTGCTAAGGAATTCCCGGGAGCTCACATCTACGGATGCCACTTCCACTACGCACAGAGCCTGGTGAGGTACGCGCGGAGGCCAGCTGTGGGCTTTGGCCGAGACGTTCGTCGACGAGGTGATGTATTAGACTCCTTATTATCCTTCTGTGCGCTTCCACTCCTCCCACCTGAGCACATATTACCGATATTCCAATCAATCTCGGACGAAGCGATGCAGGCTGATCGTCGCTTCGGACTTTCCATTGAATACATGCGATCTTACTGGATGGAGACTGTCGGTCCTGCGGGGATTTCTATTTTCAGAGCACCATGTCGAACAAACAACTCAGTGGAGTCTAACAACGCCGTTCTCAAACGCACAATAGGAATTCACGGACCAGTCTGGGAACTCATCGGTAAGTGTCTGAGGACCCGAATGGTGTGCTTTATGGATAATGGAAGATCCCCGACTAATTGTGAGTCTTTCAATTTCAGCATGCTTCACGAAGATGGCGCAGCACGTCTACGTCGACTATAACATCAGTCTCAGAGGAGCGTCGGCGATCCGCTCCGTGCCCACCAAGGTGACGGTCCTCAATGAGGAAATGGTCAACTCGGCTTGGAGTCGTCTGGAAACAGGACTCATCACCCCTCGGATGCTGATTTCAAGGCTGAAGTACAGATCGGGTGCCGGTGAGTCTTTTCCCGATAATTCAATACGCGGATGTAGAGGCTTCATTGCCCACTTGACGGATTTCGCAATAATTCACCCTTCTCGTGATCTTCCAGCCGACGTCCGCGAAGGCATGTTGCAAGATGATCCCCCAGCTGAAGGTGAAGCCTTCCGAGAAGAAGAACAGGAGCCGATCGACGAGGATGATTTGGACAGCTGGTTCGCAGAGCGTATGGTGCTAGCAAATGCCGTCGAAGACGGCCAACCTGGTCCGTCTCATTCCGGGAATCCCGAAGTGTATCTCTGGTCTCTCGCTTATGTTCGCTCACTTGATTGTAGATAAAATCTCGATTCCCCCCACCCACATGCGTATTACTCATACAGTAGCAGAGCTAGTATATGTAGAGATCGAAAAAATAATCTCAATTAGTCTGGCATTCATCGCCCGGAGATCTCTTCTACACCAAAGGTTCATGACGGCTCCTGGCAGCTGGACCAGGAGTATTCCTTATCTGGCACTGCGATTATACATGTACTATACAGAAGTATGGGGAGGCACAAGGATTCGATCTACAAGATGATGGGAATTTCCGTGAGTGGAAACTTCACTAGATCAGTCGGGATACCAGGAGGAGGACAGAATTCAGACTTCAGAATGACGAGGATGCCTTCTGTGTGGTCACAGAGCAGAGAGTATCTCTTGTTGAGGAAGCAGAGTTGCTCTCATGCGGTACTCTTAAACTAGACGAATCGATTCCTTCCGGTAGATTATCGGGAGGGAGCTCGAGTTCCATTCAGAGATACATTCTTCCGATGGTGTTTCTGAATGCTTACTCTGATTGTGATTTCAAGGGTCTTGAACACGGAGAGTCATTCTCTCACGCTTCTAGCAGATGAGCTTGGAGAAGCCCCTCTTCTCGGCTGGAACTGTTCGACGAAGATGAGAGAGCATGGAGAGAGCTCTTTTGAATTGGTTTTCTCACACAGGACGCGAAGTCGTGAATGACGTAACAAGATGGGATATCGGAGGTTTCTTCGCGCCGAAATCCGAATCTCCCCTCTCCACTCCATAAGCTATTGGTGCTGCGGGTGGCAGCTGTGGAAAGTGTCGGCTGCGGTGAGAAACAAAGTTCTCGGCCCGTCTCTTGGGGGACCATGTGATTCTGCGTCCAATAGACCTTTATTTTCCCTGCTTCCCCCTCTGATTGTCTCAAAGCCTTCAGCCACCAGAACCTCGTCTATTGCGTATGCAATGGGTAGGGAAGATCCTTTTGGCGGAATCGGACCTAGGATATCTCCTCCGGTTAGATTTTCCGAGGCATTCGTAATCGCTTATCGGCTCCTCCACGACGCCGAGCTCGGTAGAGTTTGTGAATTGTATGATACGTTCCATCAACTGTCTCCGAGGCTAGTGTATCATCCTCGGCCGGTATGGGGAATCTGATGTCAGAATCGTGATCAGCGACCCCAAAAACCCCCGACTACATATATAGCTCGACCAATATAATTGTTTCTGCGCCAATTCTGTGATTTTGCCTATGATTTTCCCGTGATTTTGACTATGATTTTGACTTAAATCATAATCAAAATCATGGAAATCTCGTCTATGATTTTCAATCAAAATCGTGGTCATGATTGTGATTTTGCCTCACATATGAGTCATACGGCGTATGACTCATACGTATGATCATATAAATTGTAATTATTGTAATTAATTACGTATATATAATGTTGTTGCTCGATGGTGTGGCATTGTAGGTCCCCACCATTCTTTCGATTCTTTGAGCTATATCGCCTACCAATTGTTTCGCCGTTTCCATAAAACCTCCTAACGCCCGATGAAATATTTCCACCAAGCCGTTCGAAATCGGACTATAGATTGGTACGCGCTGGTGTCTGATTCCCAACTCGGACAGGAACTCGGCAAACAAATGGCCCACGAACTGGGGACCATTGTCGCTTGCTACGCATTCCGGGATTCCCTCACGGTTGAACAGCTCTCGGAACATTTTTATCACGTGATTCGTCGACACCTCTCTCAGCAGTTTCACCTCCGCCCATTTGGAGTAGTAATCCGCTACTACCAGCACGAATTGGTATTGTTGTCCCAGTGTATGGTCGGGCCCTCGGATATCGACTGCGAGCTTCTCCCATGCTCTGCTTGGCCACTCTGTAGGTTGTATCAAGGCGAAGCTACTTTCCAAAACTCGATCGCTGTTGACGCATATTTTACATTCTCGGATGAATTCCTCCACCATTCGATCCATGGCCGGCCACCAGTAGATCCGTCTCAATCGTTGCCGCGTGCGAACCTTCCCCTGGTGGGCGTCGTCGTGTGCGATTCGTGGTGCTCTCCCTCGAAGCTCTGTGGGCAATACAATTTTTTCTTGCCTCAGAATCACACCATCTTTTTCGGCTAGTTAGTGAATCACTGACGTCCATTCTTTTTCCCTTTTTTCGGATTGGAAGTTCTCAGCCATTTGTTAACGAATCCTAACTCTGTATCCGTCTCGGTTCTTGCTGAAATCTCTTCCCAGTATAATGGGCTGGTACTCTCGTTGAGTTGTGCTACTACTAACTCGTCTTCCCCCGCGGTGGTGAACCTATCATCGAGCGGCAAGCGAGAAAGCATGTCTGGTACGTTGTTGCTGGTCCCGGGCCCATACTCTACCACAAAATTATATCCACGCAGTCTTTCGACCCATCGGGCGATTCTGAGCGGCGCCCTACCCCTGCCCTTGGCTCCCAGAAGCGTCAGCCACACCCGGTGATCTGTTCTTAATCGGAATCTCCCTCCATAGAGAAGCACGTGCCATCTCTCGATGGCGAAAACACACGCCAACGCCTCTTTCTCGCCGGCTGAGTACCGCTGTTGTGCATCACTGAGCGCGCACGACGCGAAGGCCACCGGCCGTTCTCCGTCGGCATGCTGCTGTAGAAGCGTCGCTCCCAACCCGACGTTTGACGCATCTGTCGCCACCACGATTTCCTTAACATGGTCGAACATTGCCAAGGGTTTGGCTTCTATAAGCTCCCGTTTCATGGTTTCGAAGGCTCTTTCTGTCTCCGATCCCAATTCGAGTTTTGTATCTGCCTTCAGTAGCCTTCGCATCGGTTCTCTTATTGCTGAGAACCTGGGCACACATCTCATGTAAAAACTTGCGGTTCCCAGCACTGACTTGATCTGCGAGAGAGTTTTCGGTTCCGGTCAAGCTTCGATGGCTCGTATGTTATCCATCGTAGGTCGAACCCCATCAGCACTTATTGCGCACCCCACGAAGTCGATTTCCGTTGCTCGGATGACGCACTTCGTATTCAACGTCATTCCCCTATTCCGAATCCTCTCCAAGGTCAATTTCAATCCGTCGTCATGTTCCCTCACCGTCGTTCCATATATCAATACGTCATCCAAGTATACCACAACTCCCGGTATCCCGAACAAAACTTTCTGCATCATCCTTTGGAACGCGGCTGGTGCTGAGGCCGGACCGAATGGTACTCGTTGGAAGCGAAATAATACCCACGGTGTTATAAACGCAGTGAGATCTCTCGATTCGGCTGCCAAAACTACCTGATGGTATGCTGACAGTGCATCCAACTTGGAGAACACTTCCGCGCCCCTCAGTTCGGCTAACAGATCTTCGAAGAACGGCAACGGGAAAACGTCGGCGACAATTGCTCCGTTAACGGCCCGCAGATCCCCACATAATCTCACCCGTCCATCTTTCTTCGCCACCACCACCATGA